CTCAACAGAACATAAAAAGGTTGTGATCATCAAAATCATCAACAAAGTAGGTAACAGTAATTTTTTAGCTTCACAAGGATATGTACTTAAATACATCCAGRTATACACTGTATTTTTGAAATGATGGAGGGTGTATCAGTTCTCAGACATAGAGAGTAGATTAGTGGTATCAGTTGCTATTGTTGTTCTGAGTCTTCTGTTGTTTCACCATATCTACAAGTTCACCTGACTTTTAATCATGCAGACTGCTTTCTGGTTTTTTCCATGGCTTTTGAGCTCTCCCTGGTCCATTTTCCTGGATGCACACTTTTTCTGTGTAACTGAAACTTTCTTGGAAAGTGGTTGCAAGGATGACTCTGTCACTGTGGTCCCTTTAACAATGTCTCTGAGACCATACTGAGAAAAGCAGAGATCCCTGTGAGTTTTACTTCCCCATTGCACCATATTCTTCATGATTTTTTTTTAATTTAGTCCTCCTGTAGATACACTAGACTCAAGAAAACTTCAAGCCCTTTTCTCATACCGKGGTGTTTTCTTGCTCATCTCTCCCTGAGTTTAGAAGACAAGTAGTGTCATGGTGGAAAGCAAACTGATAAGCAGTGAACCTTTAAAAATAGTTTCCTTGTAATATTTGACAAAGTAACACAAGTAACTTGCCATAGCAATCAGTTTCTGAAACAAAGAAAAAAGTTATCATTACAAGGTGCTCTGTTGCTATAACAGGGAAAGAAGCTGAGACCTTACCAGTTTTGTTCACTTGTGTGCCATGCATCATCTAGGTAGCAGAACCTGTCAGCAGAAGTTTGTGTTAGATTCTGTGCAAATCATCTGCCTTGTGGGYCTATCTGATACTTGGATCAAAGCTGAAGTGCAGTCAGAAGGAAAGAAAGAAGTGTTCCGAAGAATTGAAGCAAGGCTGGATTCTCAGAAACACGAGAGCAAATCCATTTCTGCAGCAAGCTGATGCAACTCTGAAGATGCCAGTAAGGGATGAACCAATTCTGACATTAATTTCACTTGCATTCGCTGACAGTCTCCATTCTTTTTCTTTATTTTTTTTAAAGTGAAATAAGTCTGTGGATCTGTAAGTATTTTGGAGTCACCTGGGACAGAGGATGGAAGGACAGACTCATTGCCACAAGCTTGCTTGGATTAGAGAGTGAATTTAGAAATGGCAAAGAGAATCAGCKAAGGGCAGAGAGGAGAAACAGTCACAGTTACCACAATGGGAGGAAATAAAAACTGAGTTTTGTTAKCTCAGAGGAGGACAATTTTGAAAACTGTTTTTTGTGCAAAGAGTCACAGAGGCCAGTRGAACTACCTTGTGCTGAGGATAGACTCATTTGTAAATCCAGAGTGGGTCTAGGGCATACACAAAATGTTTGCTTTACTCCAGAGCAGGAAAGGATCTCTTCTGTGGGACAGTCTTGAAAAGTGAAGGAAAAACTGAAAGTTTTTTAATCCCTTGACTACTGATTTGAGCYGCAAGTAACACCCCTCCAATTGTGTAATGGTATTAAGTGTATGATCCCCTTTCAATTTAAAAAACACTCTCTCCCAGTAAAAACTTATGCTGTTGATGCAGAAGTGTAAGKCTTGAGAAACAGTGGCCAGCTTTCTGAGCTGCCTGAGGCCTAGCTGAATTCACAGGTAAAATTCTTGTGACTCATGCACAGTCCTCTTCTAGCTTTCTGGTGAGGCTGTAGAGAAAATGCTGCTAGGTYATAAACCCTGACAATAGCATGAGTTGAAAAGAAGCCTTTGAAAGCAACTCYTAATGTATCAGATAAATCTATGTGAGATGTGAAGCTGGAGTTCACTCTTGACAACGAATTCTTATACTGTGAGCGACTGACTGTAAAAAGACTTTGGGAAAAATCTGAGTCTCCTGCAGCACAAAGAAACCATGAGGTAMATGAAAGTCTTCTCAAAGAAACCATTCTAAAACTGTTCAACACTATAATTTAACACWGTCTCCTAGAGACTGGGAAAAGTCAGTGGGCTAATCCCTACTGCAGGTTGTGCTAAAAGAGACATAGCCACAAGAGACATCACAAATGTGAAATGTCACAAGTGTGTACTCTCATCCCAAGGGCCTGGGAATCTTGGAGGTACCTAAGACTTGGAAGCAGCGAGGTCTCTTTCCAATTGAGAGACTACACAGAGAAAAAAATAGAAGACCAGTCAGTCCAGGCTGCAAAATTTTTTAAGACAGACACTGAACTGGAGAGATCTCCTGGAGTAATCAATTAACAAAAGAAAACACTGAATTAATTAATCAATCTTCAATAAACCAACAAAATCTTCCTCTTTATCGCCTCCAAAGACGTGACATTGCTTCACGTGACCCAGCCAGTGAATGGGACCACTTAGTTTTTAATCCCCAAAATAATGGCATTATTATTTGCATTAATATGGGATTAAATTATACTAAATAAGAGTGCTCAGGCTTTTTTTTAACTAAACTTGAAATGTTACAGAAGAATCTGGGTGGGCAGAGCAAAACGGTCAGTTCTGGAGGGTTATCTAATCCAGGACAGGATCTTTCTTGTCACGGTTTTCCTTTCTGAAATAAGCAAGGCAGCATCTTGTCAGGTGTCTGGTCCAAGCTTTACTAAAGCTAAAAAGAGGAAAGATTCCTGTTGACTGAAATAAATTTTGCTAACTKTTGGATTCRATCAGTTTTGAAGAGARACTAGAAACTTGCAGAGAAAGATGYTCTGGWATCACRGAAATGGAAGGTTTTGTAATCAGARCTTGGAAGTRGATGGAGATCTATGTTCCATAGTTTAAAAATACAGACAGCTGCTGATTCTGATTTTTTACTATTAAAAACCCCACAGTCCAAACACACACAAGCACACACACAAAAGATAATTCAAAAACTGGTCAGCCTTCTTGTAGAGACACTGGGAATGAACAACTATCACATCTCCCTAGATGTGGTGTGCAAGAGCTGATAACATRAGGTCCTCACCTAAGTGGATGATGGGATGGTTGGGCTTCAGATCTTGCTGTGTGGGGTGAGTGGGGGGAGAGATGAGATACAGGTTTGATCTCTGAGTATTTATAAACAGTGTGGCTTTCTACAACTGCCTGCTAATTTCAGTCTGATCTGAAGCACACTGCCCTCTGCAGTGTCCCGTTTGTTCCTGTGGGTGTTTGCTTAAGCCTTCAACAAATGTTCTTTTTAACTGTTAGTGCTTTTTTCAGGGAGCTGTAGCTGATCACGTGGTGAGTCTGGAGCCCGAGTCACTTAGAAATGACACTGATTCTTTCATGAAGTGCTCCTACCTCACCAAAAGTTGCCAGGGTTGGTGAGGTCCTGTGTCTCCTTCCACTCTGCTGAGCCTGCCAGTGTAGATCAGCAAGGGTCACATAGGGTAGGAGGCCTGGTAATGCAGAAATCTGAAAGTTGGGAGCCACACTGATTTTCCTGGCAGTGGTTTGCTGGCATATGTACAGGAGCTTTTGTTAGCTGTCAGCTTGAATGGAATGTCAATCATTCCCTCGGAACCTGATCTTCAGACCACTGCACTCTGAGAGA